TTCTTCTTCTTCTTCTTCTTCTTCTTCTTCTTCTTCTTCTTCTTCTCTTCCTCCTCTTCCTCCTTCTCCTCCTCCCCGTCCCCCACTTCATCTCCTCCCACTCCTGCTCAATATCACTAACACCTCATCGTCATAATCATCATACCTATCAAGTTATGTCGTTTGGCCATCAAGTACTCTGTCCTGCAGATGTCATTCTCCAGGGCCAGACACTCATCTCTACAGATCTTCCTCGGGGTCGGCCTGTCCGCTGTCTTGTCGCACAGAGGGAACGCGTGGTAGCACAGGGACTGGATCCCATACTGTTGGCAACGCTGACTCATGTGGCTAGACGCCTGGATCACCGCGAAGGCAGCTGGTGGGGACAAACAAAATAAAGGAATTTGTAGAAGTACTGTGAATGATGAGTTTGAGTCTTAGTAAGCTTAAGTAGAGGTTTTACGCGCTCGCAACTGCATAAAGTCACATGAGCGCCAGAAGATTAGGGGGGGTTACAAGAGAGTAACAAACATAAAAAAGAACAAGGGGAGATAAGGACGATAGATGTTTCTTAGGAAAGAAGAAGCAAACCACAACAGAGCACCCGCTAACCAACCACAAGTTTTAGTCTTAGTATGAGTCTTACGGCACTTGCAACACAATTAGGTCATATGAACGCCGAAGATACGAGGTGTTACTAGAGAGTAACATACAAAGAAAAGAAGGAGATAATGATAATAGATGTGGTGTTTGGTGGAAAGGAAGGAGCAAACCACAACAGAATGCCTGCAAACCACTTTACAGGACTGTGAGAAGCATGCAGAAAAGTATGTTGGTCAAAAATAGAGAAAGCATGTACAGAGGGCGGGGAAGGAAGGCCTCAGCTGTTTCTTTTTATACCATTGAACTGCATCTAAGTACGGTGATGGTAGGAAAATAATTAGACCTATGGAGAACGGAAAAAGGAGTAACATTAGTTGTAGCTTACCACCACTTAATACTATAACGTCAACTTTGGCCCAGAACTGTAATGTATTATAATATACGGTTCAGTATATAATGTTTTACCAACTGAGCCCCTCTCACCCACCCTTCCCCCTCCTAAGCAACAACAACAACAACAAAACAACAACAACAACAATAACACCAGTAACAACAACAACAACAACAATATAAACAAACAATAACAAAATTGGTAAAAACCGAGACGTCTCGGTAAAAACCCATCAGATTTGACCAGGACAATGGATACAGAATAAAAAGAGGGCCAAAACGCACAAGAGTTTTGGCCAGTAAACCACGATAGAGAAGCAGACAAAACGGAGGTATTGTGTGTCTTAGCAATGCCTCCAACGTCACACTTTCACGTTGTTTTGGAATAGTCAAATACTATATTTATAAACAAAGACAAACGCCAAGCTCCCCTTCTCTCTCTCTCTCTCTCTCTCTCTCTCTCT